TTTTATAGACTCCAGGGCTGGGGCCTAATATAACACATTTAGTTAATCACTTCCATTCTTAAAAGAGCATTTGTGGTTGTGATTATTTCTGTTTAGCTATTAGGTCTTCAAGTGTACTTCCTATGGATAAACCCAAAGTATTGTCCAACTTAATCTTTTTTAAACTGTGGATTACAATTATTATTGAATCGTGAATTTAATTTTGTGGGTTATATTCAGCATTGTTTTAAAAAATGAAATAGAATCAAATAGAATAGAAAATAGCAGTGTATTACTCCTAGTTAAGAGTAGTGTTTCAGGAAACTCATGTTGTATGTGTGTATAAATGCATATGTGCACAGACACAGTTATGTCACAACTTAAAATGTGTTTCTTACATTGGCTTCCAGTAAAAGAGAAAAAGAAAATGACCAATCTTCTGTTTTTAAGGATCACCTTTTATTTCTAATAGTCATCTTTTCTGGATAGAACTTTTAGAGGGCACCTTACTAACTACAAGGTGATGCTATTAAAAGGTAGGATACAGAGATTCTGCAAGGTAAAACTATTTATTTTATCACCATAGAGTCCAGGCAGAATACAATTCTATAAAGGGAACTCCTTCAGAAGCTGAAAGCTTTACTACCTTGAGCTGTGAACCTGATACACCTAATCCACCAAGGATAGCCAATCGGACCAAAAATTCACTCACTTTACAATGGAAGGTAAGAATATTCTGCAGAGTATTTCCAACTAGACATTTCTTCCCCCAGCCCCCATAATATTGTTTTAATTGTTTTCAAAGACCAAAAGAGCTTTAAGCTAACTAATTTGCTCTTGCTCTTTACAAACATGAAACAAATGCTATTTACTTATATCTTAAAGTAATGCTTTTACTGATTTGTCTTACTATATGTACATATAGCAAAAAAGACTGACTTATAATTCACAGTCCTCATTATGTTGCACTTGTGATGACATTGAGATTTCAACTGCGATTCTCAACCCATTGTTCCTTTTTGCAATATTTTGTGATGACACCTTTATGTCCTGGATTTTACCCTAAAATCAGATTTATAACTTAACTGGACTCATAATTTTAAAAATATGCTACCTAAAAGGAGGAATAAAGTTATTCTTAACAGAACATGTATTTTAATGTATAAATGATTAGGCCCAGCTACACCAGAAGATATAAGTAGACAAACACCATACATAGAATTGGTAATTCAGATGCCACAGACAGTGACGTGATTTTCTGAAATGGTGTATAGGTCTTGGTAAATTTCTGAGCAAATTAAGTACAATCTTTCCCCAATTACATAGTAGTTTCATTTTAGGAAAATGCAGGATCTGTTAAAACCATACGAAGTATACCTTGTAAAGTGGGATTAGGTTCTAGGTTCTGATAATTATAAAGAGATATTTCACCTACATGGATTTTCAGGAAAACCTTCAAAAGTACTAGAAGGGAACAATTCTTTGTGATACTGATTGTCCCACACTCTACAGGGCTGTCAGCACCCTTGACCTTAACCCCATGACCATCAGGCCTTCCTTGCCCTGCATTGTTGTGATCAGGTCAGAAATACCCCCTACAGGATTTCAAAACATCCCCTAGAAGGGAGTACCATCCCTGTTAACATTGATTTACAGTTATATAACTACTCATCTTGATTTAATTATCTTCTACCTCAAGAACAAAAATCAAGGCTATCTTTCCTTCTAAAAGCTTTTGCAAATGAGGGGCTTACTGCTTGCTTGGGAGCTTGTTTGTCCCGACCAGTTCTTCTGAGGATATTGGATGCTAAAGTACTATCAGCAAATGTAAATCAAACAAATGTTATATGTACACATTTTCATGTGTGATAAAGAGTATGACTCATTTTATTTCATGTCACTTACAGTAGCATTTTATTTATGAATGTGCCCAGACCCTTTCCTTTGGTAGGGCAGTTGAAGTAGCAGCCCAGTGCCCTTTATGTAAGTTGGAATTTCTAAAGGTATCTGTTCTTTGTTCTGAAGATAATTAAAATTCAATTTTGAAATTTTTGCCTTTAATAGTATCCCAACAGCTCTATATAAGATGTAGGCAATGCTACCTCTTCGGATTGCCCAGGCTTGGACCCTTCTAGAAATGGCCCTGTATACATACACAATAATCAGCAGGGTTGGAGAAAGATACATTGTCACTGTTATTGGGGCTAGTGTTATGTACCTAAGAGTTGTTGGGAGGATTAAACAGATAATATCTGTATAGCCCATGTCACAATGCCTGAAACATAGCAAGCACTGTAACTATTGTTATTATTTAATTTTAAAGATAAAGAAAACTCAGAGCAGTTTAGTAACTTGAATATCCAGCCTTTGACTCTGCTGTCTGACATAATCTAAAAGTTTTCCTAATGAGGTTAACATAGGAGGCAGCAGCTGAGAGAAATATTTTATCAACTGACATTGTTTAGAATTGCCAGTGTATGGTAATAATAAAAAGCTGACTGACACTGGGCTTCTACTCTCTTATTGCATTGGCAGTGAGAGACCTACTCTTGAAGCCCAGGAATACTGCTGGGTAGGAATGCTGGTTTTGTGGTCAGATAGACCAAATGTGGTTCTCCTCCACTCTTAATGACTAGTAATCTAGGATAGCTTTTTTGGGTTCTTTGAAGCCCCCATTTCCTCTTTTGTAAAGTTCAGGCAATGGTACGTCATAGAGGTGATGTGAGGACTAAATGAGATAAGGTAAAACACTTCACACATAGTAGTTTCCCCTCTAACTTGGAGAAAAGCCAGAGGATATGTCTCAGGTTGTTAAGGTAGACGGCAGCCTCACCAAAAAAAAAAAAAACTAGCAAAGTAAATGTGAGACCTCAGCAATAGACTAGAACAATCTGGAATCATAAGCTCTTGGGAAATATATTTCTATACCACACACTTTATGATGAGACTTGTGATCATCTCTCTTTGGATTCTCCTACAGCGTAAGAGTTGGAGTTTCCCAAGGATCCTTTCCCTACCTGCTTCTCATTACATTCACTTTACCCCGCTGCCACTACCAATCAGTGGGCTTTGCTATGGTTTACAAGCAAATTCTGACCATACTAACTAGTTAAAAATTACAATTTAAAA